AATCCATTAGATATGAATCGAATCCATTTTTAAATAGATAATATGATTATATCACCACCAATACGGTTACTGAAAGATTCTCACATTCCTCTTCGAACACAAAATCCATCATGAATGAGATTTCCAGCACGGCAATAATGTTCCTATAAGAAAATCGACCTCTATCCTCATGCCACATGCTGCGATGTACAATGGCCACAGCAAACAAAAAATTCTTAGACGACCGACGAACAACAAAGAAGAACAGGAGCGTTGAAATACAAAGCTCCTGGGTTTCTATTCCATCATGTGCCTTGCTTCTATATTTCGATAGACCAGCGTACTCTACCTTAATTTCTGATTGCCATCAAATCTATCGATTTTTCGACACCATAATATATTTTTCAAGACAATAAACAACCTCAACCGTATTAAATTCCTCTTCAAACAATACATTGAACACAGATCACCTGTAAATCTTCTCGCGAATCGAACATCGATATCGAAATCCTTTATCCATTCCACTCTTCTCCGATATCTATTTCCATACAGACACTTACCACACTCAACCGTCAGTCAGCTCGAGTTAGACATAAAGAGACACAACATCTTGCGAATGCTCTCATCAATAATACGGTAAAATGTCAAGTTCTGCTCACGTTGCTCGCCACTATGTCGAATTTCCATACAGATGCTCACAACACTCGACCTTTTGCATAATGGAATCGGACATGACAGGGCAAAACATCTTGCCAATGCTCTCACCGATAACATAGTATAACACTAGTCTATTCCTCTTCCTATTGGCTATCTCGACTCTGAACACAGATACTCACTACACTCGACCTTCAGTGGAATGGAATCGGGTTCGAAGTGCTACAATACCTTGCCAATGTTCTCACAAACAACTGGGTAAAATATCATTTTCTACTTATTTCACTCTAGATTATTTGGACCTTTAACAGATACTCACTATACTCAATCTTCAATAAAATGGAATTGGAGTCGAAGGGACACAATATCTTGCCGATGCTCTGACGAACAATATGATAACACATCATTTGCTACTCACATCACTATTCTTTATTTCGACTTTCCACAGAGACACACGCCATACTCAAACTTGAGTATACTGGAATTCGGGACGAAGGGGCACGACATCTTGGCAATGCTCTCACTAGGAATACGGTAAGATACTATTTTCTACTCATCTTGCTCTTCACCATCTCGACTTTTTATATAGACACTCACCACGCTTCATCTTGAGGGCATTCGAATTGGAGAATGGAGAAAAGATGGAGCAATGGAAATTCTGAAGTCAAATGGCACCCTGAATATTTTATGGTGATTACTCGTTATTTGGCTTTCAAACGTCTATATCGGCATATTTTTCACGAACACAATATTTTTAGAGAATTCTCTTTTTCGGAAGAAGAATTTTACATGACATTTTGACATGTTATCTTTTGATTATTTGACTTCATTATATATTGGAAGTGTCTATTGAGGAGCTTATAAATGATTTGCTCAAACGAATTTATTCCTAACTAATTTAATATTCATATTCGCTTGGTGTAAACTCAAACATCGTCATTTTCGCTGGTGAGCGATTGTGACTAAGTCATGAAAAGTACTATTTGAATCTATCTATAAAGGATTATGAGATGCATTCATATGGAATACTGATTTCTGTTTTCGATTTCTCAAGGAGTCAACCATATACCATCGATCGTGTAAAGAGAGAACACTTCAGTGTTTGTGAAACATATTTTTTGTTCAGAATCTTTCGTTGAAGACTGACCACTTTATCGATACATCGATCGCAGATCGAGAACAGTATGTGTTCGTCGTCTCAACCTCTTTTACTCTCATATCGAAAATTTCATGAAAGGAGAAATGAACATATACTTTATTGAGAGGATGTTTGGATTCTTCGATGACCTGGTCTTCACTACTCTCTAAAAAAAACGTATCCTTGAAAACCGAGGTGCGTATGTATGGGATGTGGTATTCTCTTCAGTAACACCTATATCCACATCCTACAATTTATTATATATCATGTATCTGAAGATGATCCTGACTAGGATTGAAAATTTACGTACTAGAACAAATCCTTTAGGTTTTTCACTTATTATTTTTGTAATGAATAAAATACATATATACTTTGTTACATTAAAATTCGATTTCAACATTTTTCAATAAAATTAATATACAAAAATTTTTAATTATCTATTCGTTTAATTAAAACTGACTTCCAATGCAATTTCATTTGATTATTAGCATAAAATGTATCAACTTTTATATTATCGTGTGATTTCGTTGAGAAGATCAGTACACGATATTGTTCTAGTTCTATGTCAGCAAAATGACCGAAATCATTAATCGCAAAACTGAATCCATTTTTTTCACCAATAATTATGTGAAAATGTTTTCTAGAATGTCGTCGAAGAAGTTCTTTTCGTAAGTACTGACTGATATCATCACATGTACTCATTATTGAAGGAAACATCTGACTTGTGTGAAAGGCAATATTGACAAGTCGAATACATTCATTGCCAAAGATGGTTGTGCTTGAGTTAATAAGTTTGGCACTTTCATGTGGTAGAATATACAATTGAGAGAGTTTTGGTATTGCTACACCCAAAATACCTCGTTCCTGTATAACTCGAAAGCCATATTTGTAAATAATTCTGTTTGCATCAAGCTTTTTTCGTTGATGATCGATCTTATTATCCATACTTGCAGTATTGACAAAGCAGAATGATTGTTTTAATACGTTTCCCATTAATTTTTCCACTTCAATACAGATTAAAATAAAACTTTTATTTAGAGAATTTTTTTAACTCTGATCTCCCATGCTTTTTCTTTGTATAATATTTATAGAAGTTATAAATGAGCGATATGTTTACCTAAATACGTCATTTTATCTCTACAGATAATACTGTTGTGATGCAATCACACAGAAAGATACATAATAACTAATGATTCATATCGTAAATACTTTTTTATTTTTCGATAAATTTCAAATTTAATACTAAAATGAGTAAACCTTTTTTTACTATATTTTTAGCGATAAAGTACACATATATACTCATCGTATGTGTATCACGATATAGGTTTACCACATCATCAAATTTTGAGAACGATCGCATTTTGTTCTCGATGAATAATTTGAAACCCATAAGTAACATACAGGGTGTCCCAAAAGTAAGGTAACAAAATCTTTTTTTTCCATTTTTCGTTCTCATAGATCGTCAGTCAGCTCTCAAATTTGTACCACAGATACTAGATGACACAAGTGAAAGATCTAGTATATGATAATGTGGGTGTGGAGTATGGGTTTGGATGTGGGTGTGAATGGTATGGGCATCGGCGTGTATGTAGAGACCGAGCGTTGGTCTCTTTTCCAAAACCGATATCCATACTCAGACTCACACCCCACATCCACATAAGTGAAAGATCTAACATATGAACAATATCTGAGTGGGTATAGGTGTGAGTATCAGTTTTGGACAAGGGACAACGCTTGATCTCTACATCCACGCCGATGTCTACACCACTCATACCCACACGCACACCCCACACCCACACCTACATCCTCATATGCTAGATCTTTCACTTATGTCATCTAGTATCTGTGGTATAAATATGAGAGCTGACGGACGATCTATGAGAACAAAAAATGAAAAAAAAAGATTTTGTTACCTTACTTTTTGGAACACCCTATATAGTATTTTTTCAAGATATTGTCAATTTCTCGGTTCTTTAGTTAATCAAATGAGAAATTTTACATCTTGTGTTTATATTTTCAACTTAATTCTTTTTCTAACAAGATAAATATATTGAAAAAGGTGCATCGATTTTTCATAAGCTATGACTTAGATAGAAATAGTTGAAACGAGCATGAATTGCCGTTAGTATATTTCACTGCTTATCGTCAGAATATGAAACTAGAAGTGTTGGATGTGGCACTATTACTCCGAAAAAAACTGATTCTTTATAATCTGTTCAATTATAAATCGTTCAGAATATATTTAGAAAATTGCGGCATATTTAACACCTGTAATCTCTTATTACATAATCATTACATTTTTTATTTAAAAATCTTCCTCCTTACTTTCATTCATGTCAGTTTAGACAAGACCAAACAATAAATAAACAAGTGTCTTATTGCTGTTATGAAGTTTTATTATACTTCTATATCAATATAGAAAAGAAGTAATACTTTTATTTTTTTGATTGTTTGACTATCAATGATTTCCATTCAAGCATCATCTGGCTATTAGCATCATGCATTTCTAATTTAACTTGTTTGTCTAGTCTTGTTGTGAATATTATCACACGATATTGCTCTTGTTCCATTTCAGCAAAATAGTCGTCATCATCAATAGCAAAACCGAATGCATTATTTTGACCAATAATTATATGAAAATATTCATGAGGGTATTTTTTAAAGAGTTCTTTTCGCAAATATTGACATACATTGTTACATGTACCCATTATTGATGGAAATGTTTGACTTGTTTGAAAAACAATATTAACAAGTCGAAGACATTCATTACCAAATATCGTTGAACTTGCTTCAACGAGCATAGTGCGTTCAAGTTGTGCAGCAGATGATTGAGAAAGTGTTGGTGTAGCTATACTAATAATAATATGTGGTTTTTTTTCTCGACGATGATGACTACTCGATGATTTGTGAATACCAAGATTTGTATCTTGTATATCAACACTAGAATCAATGGTTCTATCAAATGTTGCTGGTATCATTTGTTGAAAAATGTCACCAAATACTTTATGTATCTGTAAATAATAAACAAAGGCTGTGCGTGTGATTTTTTTCGTCTGTTTTATGGAAAATTATGTTGAAAATAATAGATATAGGATGTCCAGTAAGTAACTCCATAAAGAAAAAGTTGAATGTCTTCATTACGGCTCGACCAAACGAGCTCCTTTTTTTTTACCAAGGATAGAGGCATGTTTACACTCCAAATCTATACGGACGAGATTAGTGAGAACCTATGGTAAGTATATTGTTTTCTTTTCCTATCTGTGAACTAGTAAAATTTTTTTGTTGATGTCAATAGTGATACTTAACAAAGGTTTTCACTAACCTTGTCCGTATGAATTTGGAGTATGAACATGCCTCTATCCTTGGTAAAAAAAATGAGTTCGTTTGGTCGAGTCGTAATGGAGATATTCTAATTTTTCTTTGTGAAGTCACTTACTAGATACCCCATATATATTAAAAACAAGCACGTCATACTGTTTCTTCAAGTGATATTGATATCATTTCAGCGCATGAAAATACATCTAACAGATAATTGGATGGTCCATTATTATCTACCTACTCGCGAGATAAAACATTCAAGATAATATGGCATGATATTATTTTAACCTTATATTTTGTTACAAAGTATGCAAATAAAATAAATCTATGAATAATAGAAACGTTAACCATGTCAGAAAAAAACTTAGGAAAAACAAAAAACTTCATGTACACTTATTAGTGCTTTTCGATACTTTTTTTTAAAACTTTTTTGTATTAATAAATTGAAATATGTTTCAAAAGTACTTATAAGTACAAATAGATAGTTCCTGTTCTATATAGATATTTATGTAAATAGTTATCGTTAAAAAGATATTTACGTGAATGCATATCTTACTTTTTAACTACTACTTATCAGTGCTCGATATAGTTGAATAATTTTTGATTAAATCATATTTTATATCACATCTCAAACATTGTATTTTATTAAACAATAACACTTTTCATTTATAGAAAATTTAATACACCTTTGTTCATGAAACTATCCTTATCAATTTTTTAAATTCATCAAACAAAAACTACATCATTATTTTCACTGAATAAAGTTCTTAATGTATGAGTACATTTAAAAAGCTCAGTGAAGTAGTAACCAGTAGATGGCATTACTTTCCATTTAAGATTAATATCAAGTTAACAACGGGTTATCTAAAGTTTCTTTTCCTTTACCAATGATAATTCAATCCAAATACCACAGAATTTTTTGTATTGTTCAAATATATTTCACAGATATATTCTTTTAGTTTTCGTTTGTGTGGTGAATACATTTCTAAAATTAAATATTCTTACAAATCTTTATCATCAGCGTTGTTATCTATCAACAAGTTCAATTCTTCATAGTTGGTTTGTTAAATTAACAAATGTTACACAAGTTAATACAGAAGCAGGAATACCAAAACATACACGAAAACGAAATTATCCATTAACTTGTATGATATTTTGGTTTTTTTTCTGGTATTTTTTTGTTTTTCTCTAATTTTTCTCTTAGAAAAGATGAACAAAGACAATTTCCAAAATTAATTGGACATACAAAAACTTGGAATACATTTAATACATCAAATTTACGCGATGGTAAACGTAAAGCAGAAATAGTACGTGATGATCTATTTCTTCGACAATTTATTTATGGTACATGGCATTCATTATTTGCTTCGGAACTTATTATAAAACGACGTCATAATATGATTATTCTAAGTGGACTTGTAACACGAACAATACATCCACGTCGAATGTATTTTCTTATAGGTTATACAGAAGAAATTCTTTCTGCTTTATTAAAAACTCCTGTTAAAATGGAAATTCAAACTATAGACAGTAAAGATGATGTTATTTTTACCTATTGGTAGAAAAAAAAAATTAAAACATAAAACTCAAATAGTTATTAAAACACTTTTTTTTTTTGAATTGATAAATTTGTTTATTTCTAGATGAAAATTTTTAACAATTAATATTACATTAATCGATATTTATCGAAAAATATAACCATATGATTGGTTTTTTTCTAAACTTATTTTTCGATATGGCCATGCAAATGTGTAACAGACGTGTCACTCAAGCGACAACAAAACTTGTTCGACAACTTGCTAAATCTGTACCAATGAAAGTTGAAGATAATCATCATGATGATGAATATACACGTATACCTGTACCAAAAACCTCAACAGTAAAAACAATGGTTTCAATGTATAGATATTTATTGCATGACAATGCATCTGTTACAACTGGACTTAACAGTATGTTATCGTAGTTACGTTTCTTTTTCTTTCTTTGAATTGATCTAAATGAATATTTCTTTTATCTAGCTGCTCTTAGCATTCGTCATGCGCATACTGATATTCAAATACCAAATTTCGACTATTACCGTCGTAAAGAACGTCTTGATATATCCAAAATCGTATCTAGATGCTAATGATAATACTGCACCTTATTCTTATTTAACTCCAATTGGTAAGTATTTACTTTATCATCAAATAAAAATATATAGAATAGATGATCATAATATTGAAAACTGAATTCTTTGTACGTAACATTTTCATACATATCAGTTAAACATTAAATCTATTGCAGATTCCTGTTCTGAATAATAATATTATCATGTGTATTACAGATCAGATGTCTCAATAGACTAGACTGGGTAAAGGAAAGTCAGCCTATAGACTGCCACTTATTTCATTGCATTAAATAAATTTTTAACACATGAATGAGCATGCATATTTCGAGTGCTAATAGTTAAGATATAAATAAATGTTTGTTAACATATTTGACAATATGGAAAACCAAAAACTTGTCAACATAAACATGTGTTTGTTTTTTCATTTTTCATAACACCATATATGTCGACAGTTGTTATTTCAAAAGAAATTTAATTCATTTGGATGTATACTGTTTTGTATATGATGATAAACCCGCAGCTGTAGTTGAAGAAAAAAGTAATTGATGATGAATGAGGAGAGCTAGACAAGAAGATTTTATCGAATATAAAGAATGCTTTTTTAAGATGACGATAATTTTGCTTTTTTTCTTTGTTTTAATTTATATATTTGTTGTTCTTTGCAGAAATGTTTTAGCCAATGAAAGAATTACATGGGATCTTCAAAAGAATAACAATTTAGTGGAAATACGCAACATCTTTTGAAAATTTTATTTTATTCAAGATTCGGCTCAACACGATAAGATCTCTGTTAGAGATATTTTGTAAGCATAGTAACTTGTACATAAGAAAAAGTTTGTTTTCTAAATCTCGACTTGTAGAACCTATCTTAATTTTAGTATAAATCAATAATAAAATCTATCAAACATTCAAAAATCAGATAATTTCCATAGCTAAAATCTAAACTCGATTGAATATTTGTACTCGAGAGTTTTTAGTTTAATAAATATGTTTGTCGTCGAATTTATTAAATGAAATATTATATAAACATATTATCAATGTTGAGTTCCTGCAAATATGACACATTAGTCTTAGAAAAAAAGATAGAATTATATCGAATATCTATTTTAATGAATTCTCACATTTGTTATCAGTACTAATACAAAAATGCAACCCACGCACTATTTTAAATTATATATCAAGCTATTTTTGATATAATAGCTTACATATCTAATAGATCAAAATACTATATTTGTCTTATTAATTTCTTACGAATACAATTTTTCTTTTGTAAAGGTATGGCTATAACATCAGCTTATATGGCCAAATATATGATACGAAATATAGCTGCTTTTGTGGGCCCAGCTAAAGATGTAACGTCACTTGCTAAAGTCGAAATTAATCTTGATACCGTCCTGAAGGCAAAAATGCTGTATTTAAATGGCGTAATAAACCAATTTTTGTTCGCCATCATACACCACAAGAAATTATACGAGAAGAAGGTGTTAATGTAAGTCAATTACGTCATCCACGAAATGATTCTGAACGTGTACAAAAACCCGAATGGGTAATTGTTATTGGTATATGCCCTCATCTTGGTATGAACTCATGATTAAAAACAAACAAAAGATAATTATCTCTATTTTTATATTTCTTTATTAATATCAAGGTTGTATGCCAATAGCAAATGCTCGTGATTTTGGTGGTTATTTTTGTCCTTGTCATGGTTCGCATTATGATGCATCTGAACGTATACGAAAAGGTCCAGCACCATTTAATCTTGAAATTCCTCAATATGTATTTAAAGATGACAGTACAGTTGTCATCGGTTAGAATTTGATTATGTAAAAACAAAATGGACTTGTTCCTTTCTTTGTCATTTTTTTTTTCTTAAAATTTTGTTTATTACGATCTTTTTTTTGCACATACATAGAGAGAAAAATATGTTACTGTTACTCTATTAAATTGTATATTCTTCAGAATTCATACAAAAACAAAGCAAGAAACTTTTCATAGAATCTTAAAGATAAAAATTGTTGAAATTTTATTTTTATTTTTCCTTTTCATTAAATATAAGTACATTGAATTTTTAAAGCAAAAAACAACGCTAAAGAAATAAATGAATTATTATATTCTTATTTTACGGTTTTTCTTTTAGCCATAGTAAAGTATACCATTTAAATTTTGTTTCAGTACAAGAACAAGACCTTCTTGATTAGCATCATATTTCCATAAGACATATTCATTATTTTTCTTAGCCATTTGTGCATAATGATTAACTGCACGATATAAATCATGTAATTTTGGATCATGTACAACATTGGCAAGTTCTTGTAATTTAATTAATTTTTCCTTTGTAACTAATGAAAAATTTCCATTTGGAAGAAATGTTTGATCGAAACGTTTTGATCTTTCATTATTATAATAATCATCGTCATTAATTAATGGTACACCAATTAAAAATTGAATATTCATAGTCACGATAACAGCAATGATAAATACAATAAAATTCTTTAAAAACAAATACTATTTTTTTTACTTAGAATTATCAAAATAAGATCTACCTGCATTGTTTGTTTTGTATATGTTGTTGGTGATTGAATACAAATGGAAGGAAATTTGAAATAATGCGTAACTTACGAAGGTATTTATATATATATCTTTATGATGTAGGATCTTAATAAAAATGAGTTTCATATTTATATAATTACTTTTCTAATGATGTTAATAGTGACATTAGAGATGATACTATCTTATTTTTCAATAGAATCTCATTGAAGATAAAGAAAAAGACGAGTTTTGTATCTGCTTATGCTTTAATATTAGTATAATCAAAACTTGATAAATATGACGGCGTTGGTTGATGGGAAAAAAAATAAGATGGAATATGTAGTCTAAAACTCATCTTCGTGCGTCAGAATTGAAGAGGAGTGTACCCTTAATAACTCGGCAATACTCAGAGAGTTAAGAAATAAAAAAAACTGGCATTAAAATGATGAAATGGACAAAAAAATTGATGTATTTCAAATTCATCGATTAAAATAGACATTTTCATTAATTTCATTGCATGATTTTGATTAAAAATGAAATTCACTGCATTTTCTTAATTAAAATGTCGCTTTTCATTAATGGATTTGAAAAATATCAATTTTTTTTGTCCGTTTCATCATCATAAAGGTTTTTTTTTTTGTGTTTTTGGTATAAAATTCATGAAGGTCATAAAATTTTTTTGATTTTTTTGACACCATGGGTGGCAACAGTTAGCGACCTGTCATCTTTAGTTATCTATAGATGAGAACTCCCGACGTCTTTTTATCCGACACTATTTACGACAAAATTATTTCAAAACTCATCATCTTCACAAAAAATTCTAGAAAATTCATGGAAATGATATTTCATTACGATGTCATTTTAAATTTGACATGTGCTTCTTATAGAGGAACTTCAAATCTATAGTTTGAAAAATGATTTCAAGTAATTGTATTCTCATATATGAATGTTGAGAAAACGAAATCGCCTATCTATTTGGTCGAATTATGTAGAATTCTTTTGATTTTCAACAAATTTTCTGATTTTTTTTATCAAACTTTCATTGTAATGAAATACCGTTTTCATGCATTTTTTTGCATGTTTTGGTAAAATGATGGTTTTTGAAATAATTTTATCTTAAATAATATTTGATAAAAAGACATCCTAAATTGTCTTCGTTAAATTTCTGAAAATCAAAGATTGCCAAGTGTTGCCATTATCGAGTTATTGAGCTTACACCATCGACCCGTCTTTAATTTGGGTGCGGACATTAGATATTGTCTCACATAAACTGATCGAAAAAGTTTCTTGGATTACAATAGTATCCGATGCACTTCAAATTATCATTGTCTAATTGAAAGCAAAAAATATAATCAATATAATTGAGAACTAGGTATGAAGAATAAAATATATTAATTTATTAATAACATGACTAGATTCGAACTCGATAAATATCTTGTTTTGATTCATTTTTGAGCATGTAACAAACTATAAATATAGACAGAAATTAATGAATATTGTATAAAAATGGAAGGATATTATAAAAAAAGATAAATTAATCAATATATGAATACATGTATTACTTTGTCTGAATTTTTTTCAAAACATTAATAGAACAATTAATGCAGCACATCTTCATGAAAAAATTAAATTGGAAAATAACAAATGAGCTGATTCTCCTCTGGAATTAAGAAAACTTTCTTGTCAAAATGATTTTCCGATTAAATTCATTTTGTATGGAAATTATTGTTATTTTTCATGTAATCACCTACGTCTTGATTATGTATTCGGTAGATTTAATATAAAAGATAAAAATAGAAAGAAGACAAATACTTGTATTTTTATTAATTTTTAATCTTATAAAGTCGTTAAAAAATCATTTAATTAATAATATAATTTAATTAAAAAAATGGTATTCAATGATGTTTCTATTAGATTTAAAGAAAAATATTCAATTCCGAAAAATTATGAATCTTTTTTTTTTGTTATAATTTAATAGAAATCTACTTGCCGAATATTTTCAAAAAAAAAACTAAATAATCAAAATAATTCTATCTCAGCAATAGAAATATGCAGAATTACCTTATCCTGTCCAACAGGATAAAGTAGGGTAAAAGAAATACAATCAAAAGGATAAGAAAAACCAAGAAAAAAACAATAAAGAAAGGTTATTTTTCACAACAAGATGTAATGATAGAATTTGCTTAAGAAAGTTAACTTAAACCTAATGAAAAAAATGAAGATGAAATTGATTGTTATGTTAATGCAAAATTAATCATTCACAATGAAGAACCTATGATAATCCAAAGAAAAAAATGGACTATAACTCGAAAAGCAGCGACAAAATTTAAGTAATAACATTGTTAATGATATGTTGTGTATTAGAGATTTCCAAAATAAAAAAAGGCATTTTATTACTTTATTTTAAAGTCTTCCAGTTAGATTACGTATAAGAGGTAGCGAGAAATATACTTCATAGGGCAATATTAAAAAACTTTTCTCAGATAGAACATAGGGGCACGGAAAAACTTGTCCTGTAGATCTCTATTCAACAAGAAATGATGCCACTAAAGACATATATCTGTTAACAGTCTATCTATAAATGATTTGACACTATCTACGAAAGCATGTTTTGAATATTAAATGAAGTGAAACTAATGTAGACAGCATATAAAGTAAAGTAGGACAATATACAATCAATAAAAAAGTAAAAGAAAAGAAATTATGTATTTTTATGTGTTATCTATTTATCAATCTACAATTCAGTTATGACAATCAATAATAATTTTTATATATTCTGTATTCATGATGTCCCACTTAGGAAATAGATGAAAATGGAAAGATTATTTATTCAAACTAATCAAAATAATTGATTGTATATTATGATTTTAAAATACAAGCTATTCAGAAAACCATTAGAGAAAGAAAAATTTGAATATTGTAACCATATTTTGACAAAATGAACTGATGTTTTGAGTAATGATAAAGAAATTGTTTATAGTTCATATTCACAAAACAAACTTTGTCAAAAATTGTTCTGAAGTATGAACAACTAATTTCGACAAAGAACTGTAACCTTTCGTCAATTATGAAAAACATAATATATTTATTTTCTTAATCAAAAATAAGCAATATCTAATTTTTTCGATTAATTCTCTACACTATGTAGTATAGTTTGATATTATATTTATACAACAGATACGTGTCTTGTTATTCAGTATATTCTGAATGTTTCAGCAATCAACAACAAGAACTTATTGACAAAACTGCAGTATCGATTTTTCATAATTCGCGAAAGATTACAGTTCTTTATTAGAGTTAGTTATTAATATTTCAGAATAATTCTTGAATACATTTCTCGAATGAATATCAGCTATGAATAGTCCTTTATCAATGGTAAAAATAGCAGTCCATTTGATCAAAATATGGTAGCAATATTCAAATTTTTCTTTGTCGAATGACTTTCTAGACATTTTGTAAAACAATTTAGTCTCTAAGAAACTTCTTCAAAAAAAAAATAATTTCAAAATAAAATAAATATATGAATCAAACAAATCATATGTAACATTCGAAACTTCAATCTCATGTTATCGCTCAATATTTAAGAAAATAACAAAATCAAAATCGGTATTTTGAGATAGTGAAAAACAAGTATGATGTTCTTGTCATATTCATAGTTCGATTTATTCTTTTTTTAATTAGGGATTGTCCGACCAAGAGAAGAGGTCGTCGGAATGTGATATCCTCCAAAAACTTTTCGTGCATTCTCTTAGAAAAAAAGATCTTTACACCCTCCCAAAAATCGTGACACTTCCCGTTGTTGCAATGTTGACTGCCTCAGGCCAGCTCTATTCTTAGTACAAAATACAGATTCCCTCTATCGATACTATTCGTTTCAGCGTTGTCAATATTCAAAGAAAAGTCTATTTATTCTTATCTATAACATGAATCATCAATATTATAATGATTTTAACTATGAATTTTCATCGATGTAATTGAACATAATTTCAAAAAATTTCATTGGTCAATAATCATTTTACATGTGTATCTTTGATAATCGAGTATATTTTTTTTTCTTTGCAAACAAATTGAAGAAAAGAAGAACAATAATATGAACAAAACAAGAAAAAAAGAACGCGTGCTCATATTGCAATCGACTAGAAGTCAAATGTCTCTCTCTCGCTCTATCCATATATACAGATAAATGTATATGTAATTTTCTATTTATTATTTCCATTGGTGACATATTGATGAGGATGTTGATGAGAAAGATGAGGATTATTTTCTTTTTTAACACTTGGTAC